GCCCATGTGCTGGGGACACAGGGAGGTTTATTGGGGGTGGAGCAGAGCCGACACAAAACCAGGCACTTGCCATACTTCCCAAACCTAGGAGGCACGGCATCTCCAGCACTGAAGACAGACCTTCTCCAGTGGTGCACCTGGGCTACCCTAAGAACATGGCCCTGCCTTGCCCTCCTCACTCGTTCCCAGAGCCATCTGGGTTGCGCAGCCGCCCCAGCATCTCGCAGAGCATCTGGTTGCAAAGGGCCGCGTAGGGGTTGAGCAGCACGAGTTGGCGCCGAGCAAAGGTGCTGCCCAGGCGCGCAGCTCGCTCGAAGTCCTGCCGCGCCTCCTCCTCGCGCTCCTGCAGCCGATGGATCAGGCCACGCTGCACCAGGCTCTGGCAGGCGGCTCGGCCACGGCCCCGGCTCAGGCGGATCGCCATGTCCAGGTCCCGCAGGGCACCTGGCAGGGAGAGAGGGGTGTTAGGGTGGGTTGGGGAGTACCATGGATCCTTCATGGGAGCCACCTACCCTGGTGCTGCTCACCTGCCACATCCCCCCGCAGCCGCAGGGCCTGGGCCCGGTTGTTGTATCCTGAGGCTCGCTCGGGCAGCAGGTTGAACCGCTGCAGCGCTGTGTTCAGGTCTCCTGACTCCGCAGCAGAAACCCCCTGCAGCTCCAGGTCCTGGACCTGCTCCAGAAGCTCTGGAGCAAAGGCTTCCACTGCAGCAGCGCAGATAGGGCCTCTGGCATCAGGACACCCTGAAGGGAGCAGCCCCACAGCCCACCCCACAACCTCTGGCAAGGGGCAAGGTCTCGCCTTGGGCAGGAACTACTCCCAGCCCACCCTTGGAGCCCCCTGCCCACCCTTCCACCCCAAAGCAGCACAGGGACCCCCCTGCTGCCAATTCAAGCAGTGTCACCTCACCTTCCTCCTGGGCATTCTCCTCCTCCTCCTCATCATCCAGCCCAGGGATGTCCCCAAAAGGGGTGCTGGGGTTAAAGATCGTCTGCAGGACAGCCCTGTCGTTAGCTGTGGCCATGGTGCCCTCTGCACTGAGACCCCCGTGGGAAGTGGCAGGTTAATGTTCACCCTGCTGGCACTGCTGGCTTGTCCCTGTCCTATCCCAGCCCAGCACCAGGCCCCACCACCCACCTGGCTCTGGAAGCTGCAGCCCAGCTGGAAGACCCACAGCTTCCCAAGGTGACCCGTCCAACACAGGGGCCTCACCACTGAAACCCACTGTGGTCCCCACCGGCAGTCCCTGGCCAGGTGCTCCCATCCCTGACTGATCCCAGCAGCAGTGATGACACGAGGGAAGCAGCTTCTCAGCCCTCAAGAAGAAATCGAGAGCAACCCTCTGCAGCAATAAACTTGACATGTTTATTAATTAAACTATCACTTAAATAAAAAAAAGTGCATAGAAAATAAACATGTTTAAAAACTCCTTTGTTTTTTTGCTTTTTACAACTATGTACACTTTTTTATTTTTACATTCAGTCTTTTGCAGAGCTTTCAGCATTTTTTTTAAACTATTAAAGTATTTCCTTCTTCCCTGTGCCAGGGAGTTAACACTGATGTACTTTAGACACGTTTCCTCTTTTTTTCTTTTAAAAAAACCCAAACAAACAAACAACCAGAAGCTTGGAAGAACACAAGAAAAAAAAAAAAAAGAGAGTTGTCATACATGATAAGTTGTCAAGAACTGTATTTCTAGAACATAACCTTGCCTTTGCAGAGCATTTTTTTATATTTTTTCTTTTTTTTTTTTTTTGAAACAATTATTCACCTACCTGTATTTACTAAAGAGACTGTTAAGTTCAATAAAAGAAACACCACAAGTATAGTTCTCGGTTGATAGACAAAGCTACTGTACCTCGTTAAAAAGAGACCAGGAAAGCACAGAGCACATTTTTTTTTTTTTTCCCCTAATATGCAGGTGGTTCCCCAACATTCATAATCAAAACGAGAGGAAGAGAAGGAAGAAACCAAGTTGTACAAGTACTGACTGGTAACAAGAAGGACCAGGAAAGGCTGAGCCACCCACTCCAGCTTCCGGCAGCCCTCGCCCGGCGGGGAACACGTGGCACGGTTTTCCTGGCCATCGTTAGCAACTGTAACACAATCCTTATCTATAGTGTTAAGAGAATTAAAAGCCATGGACCGATACTGAACTAGGCTTCATTACACGGTGCATTACTATAGTAGTTCCTATATATATCGTATTTATAGTAATAAAAAAAAATTGCAAGTGTGGAGAGTGGACCAGTAGTATGGATTCAAATGGCATGATTCTGCACAAAGACCGTTTCACTGAAGAACCTGGTATTGCTTTGAAATTAAAGAAAACCAGAAAGAAAAGATACCCAGCCCTTTGCAATGACCCGCTTTTCCTTGAAACACAAAAACCATGTTGGTTTGTACAAAGAAAAATAAACGCCCTAAGGTTCCATTTTTTTAAAAAGTATTTTCAGATACCGTGATCTGTGTCAGTCCTTATAAAATATACATTCATACATGGGGAAGCTGCACTCGCCGCCTGCCCGGGCAGGACAGGGTCGGGGGGCAGGTGAGGGAATGGTGCTGGGCCTGGGCACCGGCTGTTACGGCCTCTCCCCACCCGCCCGGTGCTGCGCAGCTTCCTGGGGGTACAGACAGTTCCACTGGCCACAGCAGCTCCCATCGAGGCAGCCGCAGGGGTAGCAGGCAAGCAGAAACACAGCCCGGGCCATAGG